CATGCGGAATCGCGCCCTGAAGCAGCGCATCCCGTGTAGCAAATAATGTGAGAGAGTAACGGCGTGAATCTGTAACGACGTGCCCTAAACCTGGGGCCGAGTGAGCCGTCAGGCTGAGGGCATGCGAGTGGAACGCGCTCAGCTGTGCGTCTTCTCCACCAGACCGTTTGAAACCGCACGCTTGCCACGCCGCACGCCACCCGTGTGCTTAGCAGATAACTCTACAGAGGCGTTATTTGGCTAGTCTGGAGAGAATTTAGGAGCCACAGTTCCCCAAGTTAGACACTTAAATCTGTGTGTGGGCATCCGGGTATAAGTGGCCTGGTTTTCAAGGTGGACCCGCAGCTCCCAGTGACTCCCGATCGCTCAGGGGGCACCTGGATGTGATGTGCGGCTTTCAAAGCCTAACTTTGGACTTGGAGTATGTATTTCATGTCCGCACTCTGTCAGAATTGCGTGCTCAGGCTGCTCCTGTTCATTCTTTCCTGAGATGTGCAGTATGCAAATGTAACTTACTGCCACTGTTTCTCTTCAAAATTCATTCTGAAATACCTTTTCCCTTTTTTTCTTTTTTTTTCCCCATCCTAGGTGGACTTTTCATGAGGAACACTGTTCAGGAGCACAGTGCGTTTCGATTTGCTGTGCAGTTATACAACACAAACCAAAATACCACAGAAAAGCCCTTCCATTTGAACTATCATGTAGATCACTTGGACTCTTCCAACAGTTTTTCAGTGACAAATGCTTGTAAGTAAATACATGCTGCTTTAAAAAATATTTATTTGTTATCTATCCTTACATTCAATTTCTCCCTGGTAGCCTAGAGTTCTTGTTCATACAATATAGTGCAACAAATGTGTGTACTGACATGAGGTTTAGTAGATTTGCAGCATTATATGGTTGAATAATACCTTGGGGAAAGTTCTCTCACCACTTCTTTTCACCCCTTTAGTTTTGTTTTCCAGAAAAACAACTGTGTTATTTGTATAGCAGCGCTGTGTAGCTGCGATCAGTAAATTGCCGCTGAAGTAATATCCCTTTTCTGTTGAGGCTACAACCTAGCTGTGTGAAACAGCGTAATTTGCAAATAATACCATGTAGGAATAAAACAGAAACAGCATTTACAAGTGACCTTGAGGGGACAAAGCTAGAGGGGCTTACTTGCATCCTCTGCCCTGAAATACTGGGTTGTTTTCTTACAGTGAAAGTCCTGTTAAAAGCTGAGGAGACTGTAAACTGACAAATACCGTTAGAGCTGAGGGGAGAGAAAATGGAATCAGAATGCTTAGCGTTATGAGAAATAGCTCCGCACAAGCGGTGTATACGTATAATTTGAGCCTTTATTAACAGAAGAAGCAAAATAGAACTTTGAGTAGTGTTAATGTGGTGTTAAAATGCAAAATCTCTTTCTGAAAGACTGGTGCGTGTTCTGCATTTAAAAAAGCATTCCTTTACCAATAGCAGTTCCTGAATATTTGTTTTACTGATGTGTCCAAATTCAGTTTTACACAGTTTTTATTGTAAACCTTTGAAAATGAATGGAGTCTTTTTGGGAGGTGGTTGCATGCACTTTGCAGTATACAGAAATACATCTGTACATGATCTAAAAGGACTTCTGAATGCAATGTACTAACTTTGTATTATGAACAGGATTCCTGTTCATATACTTACAGTATAAAATGTTCAAAGAGGAAGCATTGTACTAGAACAATGAAGTATGGGAGTACAGAAAACTAGTATCTCTTGCTTTAAAGCAATTTCACGTTTTGAATATCTTACTTCTTTAATTTTTTGTTTGTTGGGGATAGGATAGTTCTTATATTCCTGTCCCGCGCTGTATAATCGGAAGGCTGGACAAGTAGATATTTTATTCTTCTAGGATTTCAGGTATTTTCTGAGAAAGTTGATGGTTAGAAAATATACAGTAAGGAAATATTTGGACAAATTTTGGATTGATATTCTAACGTATCCCCCATGTGACTGCTTCTTGCTAGTGCAGCGTTACACTTTTTAAAAGGCTTTGAATTAGGACCTTCAAAACTTTTGTAGGGGGGTTAATTATGTAATACCCAATAAAAATATTTGGTAAAGTGGAAAAAAATGGTAAATAAAAGTGCGTCTGTACTTTGCATCTTATTTTACTAATCCTATCCAGCCTCAACAGCTCTTACAAAAAACATCAGACTATTAATCCTTAATCAGTGTAATCCCTTCAAGAGGCTGTATCTCAAACATAGTTTCCTAAATATCAATTATATGGATTTAAACTAAATACATTAAACTGCTTGGGTGATTAATTATTAGCTGTTTTTTAAAAGTTCTACCAGCACTTCTTTACAGATCCCACCAAGACAAGCGAACCACATGCTCGTTCAGAGACAGTCAATGTATTATTTAGTCAGTGTGCTTCTCATCTTCTGACATCTAATGATTTTTGTCATTGCTTAGTGAAAGCTGTGGTGATTTTAGTAAGATGAGATGGTTTTCTGTAGTATAGGGCTGCATGTTCCAACACACATATTACCGGTGTAGTAAAATTGGGAAAACTTAAATCTCTAGAGAAACCGTAGACCAGAGAATACCAACCTACAGTAACCTATTTAAAAATAGAAGATGTGAAAAAAGAAACAGAAGAAAGAAAATGAAAAGGTGACCTTGTCCATAGCTATGTCAACCACCTGGTAATACTGTTGGTAGGAAAAGAATACGGTGAGTTCAAGTTACCAGTCATATAGGTCTCCGTAGCTCAAAAATAAAAAAAAATAGAAGAACATTTGCTCTTTTTAGATCTGAAAGCAATTATCTTTGAAAGTCAGAATGCTCATACATATCAATGCATTAGGATGAACTAATAGCTCCTCACGCTACCTGGCTAACATGTAAAACATTCTGGCCTAAGTACCCTTAATCACATCCTCACTTCCCTGTGGAGCGGGCAGATAATTTCAGGGTGCTGCTGTATCCATGAAGGAATTCCTTCCACAACATTTTTACTTCTCTTGGAGATAAGCATGAATTGTCTCCAGTGCTGTCACACAGCCGTTTGATCAATATTTGCAATTGGCAGGGATCCATAGGAGAGAAACCTGCAGTGACTCTGACTGCCTTCAGTGAAGAGGGAGACTGTGACTGACTTAGTGGTGGGATAGGTAAAGGAACTGAAGGGAAATCGGAGAAAGTAGCATGCGTAGCTTGAGCCTAGTGCCTGTACTAGTCAGTGTCCATAAAATAATACTACTTCTTCTCCTTTGCTTTGATTTATATGATAGTGGCTGTAGTAAGTGTTCATGTGTGCAGGAATTGAGGGGGGCTCTGCTCAGGAAAGACTTATGTTCCTAGCGTACAGCTGCACATCCCGCTTGGTGCAATCTGGTGCATTCCAAAGGCAGGAGAAAAAAAAAATCTCTTCTGAAGTATCCTCACGAGCCAGAGATAAAAAGCCCACCTCTGGTAGGGCTGATTTGGCAATATCCCAACATGGGAACAAACTTGTTTAGAAGCAAAAGAAAATTCCTGCCCTAAGCCCCTCCCTCTCATTCCTTTTTCAGTTAAATGATGCATAATCTTGATTCATGTACATGTATTCCCTGCTTCACTGCTAGCACCGAGCCCATCTCTGTATATTTAATTTACACGCATGCATACAGTATTCATCCACTCTGTATTTGTCTGCCCGCCTATTTATTTAGCTGTATGATATCTTAACAGAGAGCAAATGCAAACACAGATGAAAATTCCAGTGTATTTAAAGGTGAATTGAAGTTTATCAGTTGGCTCTGTGGGGATTTATTACATCTTTTTAAATATGCAGCTTTTTGCCATCAGAAGAAACAGAAAGGAAGAAAGTTAACTTGACCTGTGGATGAATAAAATCAAGTAAAACATGGATGTTATATTGTTTTCAAAAATGCTCATGTAGGGAGTGAGCTGGCTTTTTCAGAATAATATGAAAATAACAACTCAAATGTATAAATCCATCACTGAAGCGTCTTTCATGCTTTTCTTATAACCTCTGATGAAGGATGTTAGTATTAATGTTGAATTATGCGTACAGTTCTGTAGATCATATTCCCTAGAAATAACCCACGTATGTCTTTCTGCTCTGCACTTGTAGTGCACTATACTAACACTGCTCTAGCCTCTGCAGTGTCAGCTCATTAGCACACAGATCTCATATTCCCTCTCTGCACTGTCATTGCAAAAAATTGCTGTTGTACACCTTTACAGCCAACAAATACGCACTTGCGTTATGTACAATTTTCAAGAAATATTCAGAAAAGTAAACTCAACCTTATATATAGTCCCCAAGGAATTTCTCAGAAGAAAGCATTAGTTTTCATTAAAATCTGTTGATCATGTAATGATAGTGGTGGGATGTGTATGGGTGAAAAGGGGCTATGATTGCAGAATCTGATTAATCTACAGGCAGATTCCCTCTCTTGGCTAAACCTAACCTACCAGCTGCAAATTCTTGTCCTGTTAATTTTTCTGAGTCATTTCTCATATATCTTCTGAACCCAGAAAGCTTTTTATATTTTACCAAATGTTGATGTGTAGTGTTTTTTCCATGGCACTCATTGTTTAAGAGACAAAAAAAAGAGGGAAGATACAATGACATGCTTACCTTAAGTTGCTAAAATCCTGTAAGTGATTTTATGGACACTTTCCTGAGGGGGTCTGATTTCAGACTTTCTTAGAAAATTTTTCTTTAGCATCCTTGCAGTCCTTGTGTTTAATCTTTAACATTCAACCTGGAAGATTTTAATGGGAAAAGTGCCTGTTTGTTGTTGTGAGAACATTGCAGAAAATGATACCACAGGGTTAGTAGGAGACAATTTTTCCAGTTCAACTGTATTACTCCCTTTCCCAAAGCACAGGTGCATATATATATATATATATGCACTCACATGCATACTCACTCACACATGTGCACACATGCACACGCACGCACTTTTTCCTTAGGTGCTGCTCAGCATTTCTTTTTGCCAGTGGGCAGATAATTTGCTTCCCTTGCATCTGTGTACTCTTTGGCCAGCTGGCAAAGGACACTGATGCTGAAACTGGTCAGCTCCCTTCTGCCAAAAGCATAAGCATGTCTTGCTGAAAGTCTTGCCAAGTTTGGGCCATGTACTGGTGGTTTTGCATAAGTAGAGACCACAGGGTAGGTGCCTCACTCTCCCGATAAGGAATGCACTGTGGTTTCTCCCAGCATTCTGTGGTAAAACACCTGGAAATGTGCGTTCTACACAACTGTATTCATTACAGATCCCTGAAAATGCCTTTTATGCTGCAGAATGTGCTCAAGTACTGTATGTTACTGCTGTGTGACAAAGAAAATCAGCTGGCTTTAGTTTAGCGGTCAAAGCTTTTGCAATATCGGGGTAGGTTGAAAGGTGAGGCATGTGTTCCAACTAAAGTTTATTTCAACTTTGTGGCAGAGCAGATGATTTGTCATTAAGCTGAATGTCATCTCAGTGTTAGCAGAAGTAACCATACTGCTTTCAAGTATGTTTTATTATTTCTTAAATTAATTTTAAAATAAGCTGACTCTCCTTTCTCTCCTCCTCTGCTACATACATAGTATTTACATACTATTTAGATGTTAGTGTTCCATTTAACTCATGCTGTAAAGATGGAAAAAAATCTCATATGGATGGACGCTTTTTTGAGAAACTCTGAATTCACCAAATAAATGATGAGTAAAGCACAATTAAGAGCGTTATTTACGTGTTCAGTTTTGGAAAGAT